CTGGGCCGAACGAACTGTCGAAATCGGAATAAAAGGTCTTCTTGAGTTGCTGCGCATCGGTCGAAAACAAAAGCAGCGCCACCGTGATGTTGAGCACTTTATACAGAACCAAGGAGTACTCAAAGTAATCGAGAGAAGAAGACGAGTCAGATTCACCACCGTCATCTTTCCTCATAAACAAGTTCGGGATCTTTGTGGAAGCAGGCTCACAATCGACGCCGGTCGTGAACTTCCCATACCTGAGGCCGGTGGAAGTTGGTTGGTTACCAGTGGCGGCGGATCTCAAGCTGTCCGCGGTGAGGTCAATTCGATTGGACACTGGCAACAGGTTAACGACAAGGTAGCTATAAAAGGTAGCCAAGTTGGAACCGGCAACCGAACTGTATACCAGCGAATCGTCCTGGATGATCAGCACGTGTTTCAAGAATGCGTACATATCCATCATACGGTTTACGATGCACTGGACATCGAGGAACCTCACCGGGTCGACGTGGGCATACTTTATGCCGCCGAGCAAATCCATCAACGGAAACAACGAGAGTCGCAAGGTCATGAAGTAGCGAGTGAAGAAATAATCGAAACGGGCCTTCAACTCTCCGCTGTCGTCCCTGGCGAACAGTTTACCAGCACTACCGAAAAACAGGCGAAACGTGTCGATTGCCCTTCGCAGCACACTACGAAGCACTTGATCGTCCAAGGCGTAGTCTCTGGCCTCTGCAGACGTTAGATCGAAGAAAGCACCGAGGTAAAACTTTTCTTCGAAACAACAACAAACGCAGTGAGACTTGGATGTCTTGATTTCGTAAAACTTCTCTGAACTAGTGGTGGAGAATGTCTTCGTGAACTTTACCACTGCTTCGCAGAAGCTGAAGTTCTGCACCTGGATGTTTGGAGCATCTGTCTTTGGGTAATAGAACAAAAGCTTGTTGAATTCCTCTCCTTCCGCCGTCCGAATTTCTGGGCAGTAGACGAATAAGCAGCTGAGCAAATCGGTCGCCTTCACACTCATCGCCTGTTTAAAGCGCAATATGCTCAGTGTAAAGTGAACACGCGAAAACGACCAGGCACCCAAAACACGTGAAACGTAAGGGAGCGAAGGGAAAACGTACTAATATATAACAACAACAGCGATTCATCAAACTACGTTTAATCAGTGGTCATGATGAATAAATGATGAACATACAAACATACCAGCCAGTGGTCTAGCGAACGTTTACGAAGCATGAAACATGTGTACAATAAGAGTTCAACGACAGCAGAACAGATGCAACAGAAGAACGAGACTAGTGACAAAATATCACATCAAAAATGATATCAACAAAAATCGATGTACAGCGTATGGACAAAAAATCATAGAAACAGAACAGTCCAATATACCCAATGGCTACAAAAATGGACAAGAAACAACCGAGTATTAAACGTATGAAAAAATAAAAGATAACAAAATGCTAAAAATGCTGTTCAACAGATACATAGCCTTGTTTCTCTAAAATTCGCAGGCGTTTCTCGACCGCGTCTTTGTCTGAAATGAACAAACAGTCACAAAATTTAAAATTTAAATTTAATAACTAGAGCAGAGAGACAGGATCACCTGCATTTCACCATGAAGACAGAAGGGTTAGAGAAGACACCGATAAACTGCAAAAATTCACCTATCAGCAGTTATCCAGATCATTTAGAAAAAAAGGAAAGTTTGTAATCGCCTTATTTTAAACATCATATCGATTGCAGCTACGTGGAAAGTATAGCATGTAGTCTCCTTTCCTTCCCACACAGTAGCACTCGTGTAATAACCTCTGAAGGAAGAAGGCGAGTGACATGACCAAGGCTAGAACCAAGCACCACTTAGTCCTGAGGCTGGCGCTCTACCGACTGAAATTTGATCTGTTAGGATTAAAATGCGAATTAACTGAAGAATTAGTGTCACTATTTCGCAATTCTGCAGCGAATTCCTTTATACTGCTATGCAATAGAGATGGAGCACAGTAAACATAACAGAGCAACAATCTTATGTGCCTGTCCAATCATGGATATATTTCCAAGCAGAAGACAAATACAGCTTTGGCTATTTCCCTAATGGTATGCCGAAAAAGTCTTGGATCAGAAATGAATGACGTTCAGTAACAGCAGTATACTCAGAAACGTATGTGATTAGATTCAACGAAAAGGCCACTTGAAGGAAAAGAAATAGCTGAATAGTTTTTGAAATAAGGAATCACTCCTCCAAGACCAAAATCGGGCACAGCAGGTGCTCAAATACCATGGAGCCGAGGCTGGATAAATGCTTCCTAAGCAACCAAGGAGCACGTGGGCGGTGCAAAACGTCGTGAAATCTGGTCTTGGAGAAGTTATTCGCTATCTGACATACTCTGATGTATGAACAAGTTATGAAATAATTTAAGCAATCGCTTATAAAACAGTCACAGTCGAAATGCAAAGAAATTCCAGCGCTGAACGCCGCTGAACGTGAGCGGCTGATATTGAACATGTGACAAAACAGGACACCATTCGTGCTATGAGTATTGAATTTTTCCGATAAACGTGACGTATAATTGCATGTAATCCCGTCTACCTTCTGAACGAAAAACGGAACTCATGAATTAATTAATATATAATATTCTGCGTTTTTCAATTCACTGCTGGATAAAAATGTTGTTAAACCTCTTCAATAAGCCTGCTTAAGTCTCTGAACCATGCCTCCGTACAAGGCGGATGCAACGATTTATCTAGCAAGGATTTCAGTGATTTTCTTATTTAAAATTTTTTATTGTTCTAAGGTCAGTTTTGGCTCTGGTGCGACTCATTCAAGCTCCATTATCATCTAGCGCTGATTGCTTTCACTGTAGCTAATCCCATTCGCGACCAGTTTAGTTCCCTAGCTACGAATTTTCTCTACGTGCACCGGTTACACTCGCTCATTTCTCGTTCTGTTCAATCTTGTTTTACCTATTTAGGGTCGTTTCAATCATCCCGTCTGTCTGAGACCATTGAATGAAAAGTTCTGTAGAAATGTTTTTTCTACAACGTTACTGCTATTTCTTGCTACACTGCTTAAAGAGCGAACAGGTTATCTTTTCTCAGCGTTGTGGAATAATGTTAGAATGAATGATGCTGCACTCCGTCAATTTCAAAATGGCATCAATCAAAGTCGTTCTAATCTTTTTTTCCGTTTGCTGTGCTGTCCTGAGTATTCCTTCCTACTTGTTATATGCAACTCGCAAAATTACACAAATTAATAGATAGTACGCAGTATCTGGATCGGTTTTGTCTTCAGGAACTCTTGTTTATGATTTGCTGCAAGTCATACATTTTAAAATCCACTTTATTAGTGAGTGCATATACCAGAAATATATAGTATGTGCTTGTCAATGTAAATAACACGTACAGAGCTGCAAAATGATATATCGATTGCTTGATGTGATTCATTTCATTTTCATAACTTTTTCACGATAATTATTTACGAGTTTACACCACTTGGCCGGCTTTGAATTATCCCTCATCAAAAACAATCAGGGAGGCTAGAATACACGGTGAGAAAAAATTGTGACTCTACGAAAAACAAAACTGCAAAACTGCATCAAGACTAACTGTCTAATATTAATTTGAGGTTAACTCTAATAGACATAATAACATAAGTCTAGGCTCTACTGCTGTTCAAGCTCTGCTATCTTTACATGATGGTTCCAACAACAAAGACCTATGACAAAAAAGTGGAGAGAAAACTGGAATGACATGGATCATGACGAACTGACAGAGTTCAATATCATTAAGTTCACGATGATTCCACAAGGTCGAGATGATAGCATATCCACTATATAAACAGTGTGGCGAGAAGCAACAGTAACCGGATGGAAAACATTACTATAATACTGCATTCATAGCAAAAGACAGAAGGGAAGACTGAAACGATTTTGAATGGGTAGCAGAGAAAATGGAGATCGAGAGAAATGAGTCAAAAATACATAAATACATACTAAAATATCTACCTTCAGAACAGAAGACCTCTTACTGAACTGTATCAACCCTTCTGGCCAAAAAGACTTGAATACGCAAAGGTGGCACCGTGATTTTAGCATGCTTAGAGTGTAATACGAGCTTCTTCACTGAATGATGACAAACCTTCAATCCGATTTACTTTTATCATAAATAAATGTTTGTGATGCCGTTCATTATTAACCATGTTGAT